AGATCCTCCTGCCTCTGCCTCCCAAGTGCTGGGATTAAAGGCGTGCCTCACCACAGCTGGGTTCAGCCCACTCCTTTTGAGCCAGAGTGTCCTAGCCTGGAACTCACTGATTAGGCCAGGCTAGCTCCTGTGTCTGTTTTCTCAGGTCCTGCATTCCAGGTGTCAGCGGGCACCACACTGGGCCTGGCATTCCTCTGGTGTGTGTGTGTGTGTGTGTGTGCGCGCGCGTATGCGTGTGCATGTGCGTGTGCATGTGCGTGTGTGTGTGTGTGTGTGACAGCAGGTGTGTGTATGTGTGTAGGTGTGACAGCAGGGGTGTGTGTGTGTGTGTGTGTAGGTGTGACAGCAGGGGTGTGTGTGTGTATGTGTGGAGGTGTGACAGCAGGGGTGTGTGTGTGTGTGTGTGTGGAGGTGTGACAGCAGGGGTGTGTGTGTGTGTGTGTGTGGAGGTGTGACAGCAGGGGTGTGTGTGTGTGTGGAGGTGTGGAGGTGTGACAGCAGGGGTGTGTTGCCCCCAGTTTGAGGTCCAGTGTCTTTCTCCCACCCCCTTCACTGTGGACATGGAAGTGAGGTCTCTCCGTTGCAGCTGAGGCTCCAGTGACTCTGGCCTCTCAGCTCCTCTGCGATGTCCCGTGTGTCTCCTCGGTGCTGGATTAGCTGCCGAGCCCATGGGGCACTGGGGGTCCTAACTCGGTGGCAAGGACTTTTTCAATGGCGCCTCCACCTCATCTCCCCCCCACTTTTTGTTTTCCAGACAGGATTTCTCTGTGCAGCCCTGGCTGTCCTGGATCTCGCTCTGTGGACCAGGCTGGCCTCGAACTCACAGAGATCCTCCTGCCTCTGCCTCCTGAGTTCTGTGGGCTGCAAGAATATATTCAGCTGTGTATTAAAGCTATACTTTCACCAGGCAAGGGTCTGTCAAAAGGCAAGCCATTTATCATGGGATATTTGGTGTTACCCAGTTTTTAATATTTCGGCTACCTTCTGCTATTAAGTCCTTATGTGCCCAAATACTTCCAAACAATTTGGCAAACAGCCAAGCTTCTCGCCACTGTTCCACTAGGTACGAACTCCCCCGCTGAGCCTAGGAGACCAGCAGGCTGTAGATGCACAGCTTTGTTTTCCTGTGCAAATGAAGCTCAGACCGTCCCCTTGCCTCAGGCTGGCGGCAAGGAGAGACTGACTGGGGACAATGGGGCTTTTTGCATAACCAGGTGCAGTAAGGACTGGAGTGGAATTCCAGAGGAGACACAGAACCGCGTGGCCAGAGAGCAGAGGAAGACGGAGGTTCTGTAGAGGGTGAAGCGGATCTTGGTAGAGTTTTCGGAGAGCCAGGAAGGCGAGATGGGGGAGAGGGGGGGGACAGAGGACACAGATCAGGTCAAAGGCACAGGAGCTTACTAAAACTGTGAGGACAGGAAACCAGGGCACAGAGGGGAGCTGAATCTGAGGACGGAGCTGAAGCTGTGTAGACAGAATTGACTAAGAATATAGTGAGTGGACTGAAGGACTCAGTGTGCTTAGATTCATTTTATGTCCCTCAGATTAGTATTCTCAGCCGCTTGTAGCATCTGTTCTGGACCCTGGTAGAAATCTCCTCAAGGCAGGCACTTGGGGGGAATTCGTTACCCAGTGGGCCACAGCCACCCAGGCATCTCCCCCTCTTTAAAAGACAGGGTCTCATTTAGCCCAGGCTGACCTCAAGCTTACTATGTAGCTGAGGGTGACGTTGGACTGCTGCATGCTCTGGGTCCACCTCCCAGTCCCGGGATGGCAGGCTACGTCACCAAACCCAGTTTAGGAGTCGCTGGCGAGGCACCCAGGGCTTCCCGAAGGCTGCGTCAGCCCTCTGCCCACCTAGCCCATGTTTGGTGTTTGCCGGAACTTTCAGGAGTGAGGGGAGTACTGGCAAGTGCTGGCCGGGAGGGGTGGCTGGGCGCAACCCCCCCCTTCCTTGGCTGTTACTCAGACTTCCCGAAATAGAGCCGAGTGCGCACAGATATAGAGACAAGTTTATTTTAAGATGTGACTCACACAATCCTGTGGGCTCTAAGCCCAAAATTAGCACGGCCAGCCAGCAGCCTTGAGACCAAAGAAGCATGGGAAAATGCAGAGGAACTTCAGATATCAGGGGGGAACCTCCCTCTTCCTCTGGACACACAGTGAGGGGGACCTCCCTCTTCCTGTGGACACACAGTGGGGGAACCTCCCTCTTCCTCTGGTCACACAGTGGGGGACCTCCCTTTCCCTCTGGACACACAGTGGGGGGGACCTCCCTCTTCCTCTGGTCACACAGTGGGGGGGACCTCCCTCTCCCTCTGGTCACACAGTGGGGGGACCTCCCTCTTCCTGTGGACACACAGTGGGGGACCTCCCTCTCCATCTGTACACACAGTGGGGGGACCTCTCTCTCCATCTGGACATACAGTGGGGGGGACCTCCCTCTCCCTCTCCCTCTGGACACACAGTGGGGGACCTCCCTCTCTATCTGGACACACAGTGGAGGGGACCTCCCTCTCTATCTGGACACACAGTGGGGGACCTCCCTCTCTATCTGGACACACAGTGGGGGGGACTTCCCTCTCCCTCTCCCTCTGGACACACAGTGGGGGACCTCCCTCTCCATCTGGACACGCAGTGGAGGGGACCTCCCTCTCTATCTGGACACACAGTGGGGGGACCTCCCTCTTCCTCTGGACACACAGTGGGGGACCTCCCTCTCCATCTGGACACACAGTGGGGGGGACCTCCCTCTCCCTCTCCCTCTGGACACACAGTGGGGGACCTCCCTCTCCATCTGGATACACAGTGGGGGACCTCCCTCTCCATCTGGACACACAGTGGGGGACCTCCCTCTCCATCTGGACACACAGTGGGGGACCTCCCTCTCCATCTGGACACACAGTGGGGGACCTCCCTCTTCCTGTGGACACACAGTGGGGGGGACCTCCCTCTTCCTCTGGTCACAGAGTGGGGGACCTCCCTCTCCATCTGGACACACAGTCAGTCCGGTTGGGGTGGTGTGGGGGTGAACACCTACCTCTATGGAACCACATTGGGGGGAGCTTTGCTTATTTCAGAGCATGACTGAGATTGATAGCAAAGACTAAAAAGGCCTTTGCACACAGTGGGGTGTGCTTTTGAGGTCCTGTGCATAATCCCCCACGTCCCCCACATCCCCCACATCCCAGCACGGAACCCCATATCCCAGCACACTCTACCCCCACATTCCAGCACATATCCCCTCAGATCTCAGCACTTGAGGAGCTGAGGCAGGAAGATCACAAATTCAAATATTCTTGGGCAACTTAAGGACATTATATCTCAAATATTCAAGGTTGGGGTGCGTCAGGGGTGCAGCCCCGCCCAGACTCCCCAAGTGATGGGCTGGGGGCGTGGTCAGTGTGGAGCCCTGCCCAGAATCCCCAGTGAGAGGCTGGGGGCGTGGTCAGGGTGGAGCCCCGCCTAGTATCCCCCAGGGAGGGGCTGGGGGCGTGGTTTGGTGATAGAGTGCCTACCTAGCTTCCAGGAGGTACCAGGTTCCATCCTCCCCTGTGGCAAAGCAAGGGGGGATCTGGGAAATTCTCAAGACCACTAAATTGGTTTAGGGATCACAGTGATGGGGTATTGTCTTGTAGGGAAGAGATGGAGTTTCACTTTGGAAAATACAAGGGAAAGTAGAAATTGATACCCAAGAAGTGCAAGGGCCCTGGATAGGAATCCCCTGGAATAATGTCAATTTGATTAAGAAAACTGAGTAACACAGTAACACAGTAACACAGGACAGGACCTCCCCTCGGGAGGGGGTGAGGAATTAGATCAGATAAAAATAATGACAACAGACGTGTTGCACACCTTTAATCCCAGCACTCAGGAGGCAGGGGAAGGCGGATCTCTGTGAGATTAAAGCCAGCCTGGTCTACAGAGCGAGTTCCAGGGTTACACAGTGAGCACTTCTTTCTCTCTCTCAAAAAAAAAAAAAAAGTAAAACAAGAAAACAAAGTCAAACCTAGAAGACAAGAAGTAACAAAAAATCAATTCAGGCAGGAAGAGTTTGGTAAAGTCTCCTGAGCCTTTGGGAATCTAAGTGAATGTTTCTGATTTATTTTGTTGTTATTTGTTTTTTTCAAGGCAGGGTTTCTCAGTGCAGCCCTGGCTGTCCCGGAACCCGCTCTATAGACCAGGCTGGCCTTGAACTCAGAGAGATCCTCCTGCCTCAGCCTCCCGGTTGCTGGGTAAGGTGTGCCTGTGTCACCAAGCCTGCAAGAGCACTTTCTCAAAGTGCTCACATCGCAGTACCACGCCTCTTTATCATCATTTTTAAATTTTGAGAAGCGGACTCGTGAAATTGCCCAGGCTGGCCTGGAATTCCCTTGGTCGCTCAGGATGGCTTCTGGTTACTCACCATCCTCTTTGGGGCTAGCAAATGCTAGAGTGAGGAGTGTGACCCACCTTGCCGCGTCTGCTTCCTCCCAGTGAGGCAGGAAGAAGCAGCTTCCCGGAAATGGTGGCTGTGCTGTCACCAGGTCACCTGCGGGTCACTTATTTCCAGAAGGATTCTGGAGGGGGAACTTTGATATTAGAAAGATTGAAACTGGACTGTGAGGGAAATCACCTTGGCTTCTAGCTCTTTCTGTATTGTTCTGGGAAGGTTTGGGAAGAACTTTGTTTTGTACCACGATGAGGAGCTGGAGAACTCCAAGTTGATCAGTTATTTATTTATTCATTTTTAGGAAGGGCCTTCTTATATGGCCCTGGTTGGCCTGACGCTCCCTCTCTAGCCATGGCTGGTCTCCACTCACAGAGATCCGCCTGCCTCTGCCTCCGAGTGCTGGGATTAAAGGCGTGCGCCACCACCGCCCGGCCAGCCTTTGTTTCTTGAAGACTGATTTTACTCCATGGGCCTTGAATTGTGATTCCCCCTGCCTCAGCCTCCCAAGTGCTTGGATTATAGTGTTGGGTCCTGAGCTTGGGCAAATAGTGGGGACCGACCACTGAAGTCTGTTAACCAGAAGCGAACTTTATTCCAAACAGCGCAGGGCAACACAACTTCTGGCTGGCCAGGGCCACAGGCAGAGTCTGGGCTTTCTGACAGGGAGACACTGAGAAGAAAAACCATACACCAGGTGGTGAGTCAAAGGAATTTTTACAATCTTGAGGTTTTACGGCCTTGGGTCACTGTGCAGTCCAAGATTCACAAGTTTTGATCACAGGGTGTTCAGGATGTCTGTGAAAGCCTGTGGCTACCTCAACACAGCTGCTTCCCCCCTGAGCTGAAAGGAAAGGAGGGCAGAGGGTCACTGAGAATCCTAGATATCCGCATAGGCTACAGGCAAACCATTTTTCACATCCCTGGGCTCTTCGAGAGGTTTCCTTAGTGTGAGGTTGAATTAAGAGTAAGAAATAATTTTTTTTAAGGAATAAAAAGAAGCTGGGCATGGTGACACACACCTTTAATCCCAGAACGGGAGGCAGAGACAGGAGGATTTCTGTGAGTTCTGTGAGGGCAGCCTGGTCTACAGAGTTCCAGGACAGAGAAACTGTGTCTTGAAAAATCCATAAAAAGAAAAGGAAAAATAAAAAGAAAAGACAAATAAAAAGAAAAAAAAAAGGAAGAAAAAAGAAAAGAAAAGAAAAAGCGAGCCCGTGAAGTTGGGGGATTTGGAAGTTCTTTTTTTTTTGGTTTTTAGAGACAGGGTTTCTCTGTGTAGCCCTGGCTGTCCTGGATCTCACTCTGTAGCCCAGGCTGGCCTTGAACTCACAAAGATCCTCCTGCCTCTGCCTCCCAAGTGCTGGGACTAAAGGCATGTGCCACCACCGCCCGGCGAAGTTGGGGGATTTGAACTTGCGCCCCGCCGGCTCTCCCTCCCTCCCTCCCTTTCCTCGGCAGGGTTTCCCCGGGTCCCCGCTTCCGGCTGGCGGGGGCGTCCGAGGGCAACCGAGGACGTGCGTGCGCCGCTGCGCCGCTGCG